TAAAAACTGTATGAAAAACTACAATATAGTTCAATTTAATTCATTATGAGTGTATAACATCTTTGACCTGAGCAGACACTCATTGCTGATGTGCTTAATGTATCAACCACAGAAGAACTTAGTGAAAACTATAAAAATTGTAAAAAAAAATTTTTAAAGCTATAAAGATTTTTTTTTTAAAAACTATAAAAAAACTATAAAAAACTGTAAAAACTACAAAAAACTGTATACAAAAAACAATATAAAACTATATACACTGAATAAAACTTATAAAACTTTATAAAATGTAAAAACTATAAAAACTGTATTAAATAAAAATTGTAAAAAACTAAAAAAATATATAAAAAACTGTAAAAACTGTAAAAACTACAAAAAACTGTTTAAACAATAAAAAACTATAGACACTAAAAACTATAAAAATGTAAAAACTATAAAAACTGTAAAAACTATAAAAACTGTAAAAACTAAGACTTAAAAAAACTAAAAACTGTATTAAAAAAACATTGTAAAAACTGTAAAAATTGTAAAAACTATAAAAAAAAACTGTAAAAACAAAAAAAGACTAAAAACTACAAAAATTGTATAAAATGTAAAAACCATAAAAACTGTAAAAATTAAAACTTAAAAAAACTAAAAACTGTATAAAATAAAAATTGTAAAAAACAAAATAAAACTAAAAACTGTAAACCCTAACTAGAAAAAATTGTAAAAACTATAAAAAAAAAAGTTTAAAAACTGTAAAAACTAAGGTTTGTCCTGATCAGCAGAGACGTGGAACGACAGTCTGATAAAACAGGGAACCTGCTGAGCCTCATTAAAGTAACTGTACTTTAACTGAGTAAATAAAACTTTACAAAGTGAATTTTCATGTTGAACTTCTCTTCATTCAGTGAAGCTGAAGGCAGGACAGACTACTGTCAGTAAAAGTTTCAGGTACAGAGAACCTGCAGCGTGTCTCCAGGAGTTCAACTGCTGCAGGTGAGGTAAAGTTCATGACTGACTGAGGTCAGGATGGAGGACCTCCACCTTTAACTTCTGACCTGTGTGTGTGTGTGTGTGTGTGTGTGTGTGTGTGTGTGTGTGTGTGTGTGTGTGTGTGTGTGTGTGTGTGTGTGTGTGTGTGAGTGTGTATCGAGACTCAAAGTCAAACCTCATCCTGTTATTGGTATCATGCTAACATGCTAATGTGTTGTTGGCGTGCTCCAGGCGTGAGAATGGCAGCGGTGTGTGTCTGGACCTCCAAGTAATCGATAACGTCCCCGGAGCGAAAGTGGAGGAGGACACCGAGACACACCACGTCCTCGCAGAGAACCTGTACAAACCCAGGAGACGGGTACACTCTCTCACACATACACACACACACACACACACACACACACACACACAGATGAAAGTTCTCACCGCTAGACCTGGATTAACAGATCTGGAGATCTGGATCATGTTGTGTGTTGTGTCCTGTTGTCTCATGTTGTTGTCTCATGTTGTCTCATGTTGTTGTCTCATGCTGTTGTCTTATATTGTTGACTCATATTGTTGTCTCATGTTTTCTCATGTTGTTGTCTTATGTTGTTGTCTCATGTTGTCTCATGTTGTTGTCTCATGCTGTTGTCTCATATTGTTGACTCATATTGCTGTCTCATGTTTTCTCATGTTGTCTTATGTTGTTGTCTCATGTTGTCTCATGTTGTTGTCTCATGTTGTTGTCTCATGTTGTCTCGTTGTTTTCTCATGTTGTCTCATGCTGTTGTCTCATATTGTTGTCTCATGTTTTCTCATGTTGTTGTCTCATGTTGTTGTCTCATGTTGTCTCATGCTGTTGTCTCATGTTGTTGTCTCATATTGTTGTATCATGTTTTCTCATGTTGTTGTCTCATGTTGTCTCATGTTGTTGTCTCATGTTGTCTCATGTTGTTGTCTCATGTTGTTGTCTGATGTTGTCTCATGTTGTTGTCTCATGTTGTCTCATGTTGTTGTCTCATGTTGTCTCATGTTGTGTCATGTTATGTCATGTTGTCTCATGTTGTTGTCTCATGTTGTCTCATGTTGTTGTGTCGTGTTGTTGTTTCATGCTGTTGTCTCATGTTATTGTCTCATGTTGTTGTCTCATATTGTTGTCTCATGTTGTTGTCTCATGTTGTTGTCTCATGTTGTCTCATGCTGTTGTCTCATGTTGTTTCATGTTGTCTCATGCTGTCTCATGTTGTCTCATGTTGTCTCGTGCTGTCTCATGTTGTCTCATGCTGTTGTCTTATGTTGTCTCATGGTGTTGTCTCATGTTGTTGTCTCATGTTGTCTCATGCTGTTGTCTCATGTTGTTTCATGTTGTCTCATGCTGTCTCATGTTGTCTCATGTTGTCTCGTGCTGTCTCATGTTGTCTCATGCTGTTGTCTTATGTTGTCTCATGGTGTTGTCTCATGTTGTTGTCTCATGTTGTCTCATGCTGTTGTCTCATGTTGTTTCATGTTGTCTCATGCTGTCTCATGTTGTCTCATGTTGTCTCATGCATTCTCATGCTGTCTCATGTTGTCTCATGTTGTCTCGTGCTGTCTCATGTTGTCTCATGCTGTTGTCTTATGTTGTCTCATGTTGTTGTCTCATGTTGTTGTCTCATGTTGTCTCATGTTTTTGTGTCATGTTGTCTCATGTTGTCTCATGCTGTTGTCTCATGTTGTTTCATGTTGTCTCATGCTGTCTCATGTTGTCTCATGTTGTCTCATGCTGTTGTCTCATGTTGTTGTCTCATATTGTTGTATCATGTTTTCTCATGTTGTTGTCTCATGTTGTCTCATGTTGTTGTCTCATGTTGTCTCATGTTGTTTTCTCATGTTGTCTCATGCTGTTGTCTCATATTGTTGTCTCATGTTTTCTCATGTTGTTGTCTCATGTTGTTGTCTCATGTTGTCTCATGCTGTTGTCTCATGTTGTTGTCTCATATTGTTGTATCATGTTGTCTCATGTTGTTGTGTCATGTTGTCTCATGTTGTTGTCTCATGTTGTTGTCTCATGTTGTCTCATGTTGTTGTCTCATGTTGTTGTCTCATGTCTTGTGGTTCAGTATCAGTCCCACTACAGCCGACACTTCATGCCTCTGGGGGAGAAGGAGCGTCAGGACCGGGAGGTGTTTCAGAGGAACATGAGGAGCCGCATGGAGACGTTCAAGTCCACCAGATATAAACGACACAAGAAGGAGCGCAGCCTCAAGAAGGTCACACACACACAAACGCACGCACGCACGCACGCACGCACGCACGCACACACACACACACACACACACACACACACACACACACACACACACACTGTGAAACACACATTTATCTCTAATGAACAGTTTTGTCTGCTGATTACAGTCAGGGAGTTTTCTCCGCTCTCTGTTATGACACAGAGCGACATGCTGATTGGCTGATTGAAGGTCGGCTGCTTCCTGTTATGGCTGCAGCTGAACTGACGTGTTTATTCTGCCTTCAACAGCGGCGAGGATCCGACGCCAAGGAGGACGGTAGCGACAAACCCAGACGCAACGTCAGCTGGCAGGACAAAGGTACAAGGGGGCTGATGGGAGGAGCGGGGGGGGCTGATGGGAGGAGGGGGGGGGCCAACAGGTTGCCCCCTCAACTGTTAACACATCCCCTGTCACACCTGTACAAATACCTGATCATCCTCAAACACCCTGCTCTGGATTAAGGGTGATCAGTGTGTCTGTGTGTGTGTGTGTGTGTGTGTGTGTGTGTTCAGATCCAGCTGTGATTCCGGTGGAGGATAAAGCCGAACACTCAGACGCAGAGAAGGAGGACGACGTCGGGATCACCTTTGTAGCTCGTAAGGCTGAGACGCCTAAACAACGACCAAAGTCAGGTGAGGAAACCACCCCCACCTAAACATGTAAATAACATGATGAGAGGTGGGTGTGTCCGGAGGGAGGTGGTTACCTGTCTGTGGTTAAAGATGGGGGAGCAAAGAAAACAGCAGGAACATGATGAAGCGTGGTACTAACCACAGACTGTAATTGAAGATGGCTGTCACCTCTGAAGCTCAGAGTGAGCTGCTCCACCGTCGCCATCTTTGCAGTCTGACTCTGCGCCTATCTCCCAGCTAATCCAAATATGGTGAAAGAGGAGGGGCCTGTGTGGAGCGGAGGCTTTGGTGCATGCTGGTTTAATAGCTGTGGCTAGCATACTACCCTGTTAGTGGTCATTAGAGGAACTGCAGCTTCTGGTTCTTCAGTTTTAACTGCCCTCCTGTTTCTCCTCCCTCAGTCCCAGCAGCTCTGGACGGGTGTCAGAGCCCGACCGCCGCCCCCCCCTCGCCCACCAGCGGAGACAGCCACCTACCGTGGAAGGGCAGCGTGGGCTCGCCCCCCCCTTGTGTGTCTGTGGAGGCCACAAAGATCATCCCTGTGGACCTGCAGCAGGCCTGGAACCAGAGTATCTCCTCCCTCGAGAGCATTTCATCCCCTCCCGCCCCCGCTGAGCCCGTCCACCCCCGGGTCAGCGCCCTCTCCAGACTGGGAGGCCCCCGCCCGGCCTCCTACACCCCGCCGGGCAGTGTTGGGGGCAGCACCTCCTCCATCGGAGCCCAGGTGTCGCAGGGCTCCTTTTGCTTTCCAGAGAAGAAGAAGACGGAGGAGGAAGAAGAGGAGGAGGACGAGGGGGGGGCGCTGCAGGAGATGCAGCCACTCATGTCATCTCTGAGGCCCCCCAGCTCCCTGTCGTCCCCGCCTCCTCCACCGGGCTCCGCCCCTGGCTCAGGGAGGAGGAGGAACCCCTGTGTCTACTTGAGGAGCCTGGTGACAGCGCCCCCCCCTAGCAGCAGTGAGCCGTACAGCCGAGGCCCCACCCAGCTGTAACAACAGATCCCAGACCAGTCAAACACCCGCCACAGAGCAGGAACTGTATACACACACACACACACACACACACACACACACACACACACACACACACACACACACACACACACACACACACACACACACACACACACACACACACACACA